CTCAAGCCCTGACCTGAGGGGGCGGTTCTGTCTCTTTGGGGAGGGGCCCATGGGTGCCCAGTCAGCCTGCCTCAGGGGCTGCCTCTACAATCCACACCCCCAGTGCTGTCAGGTGTGTTCACGGATGTGGAGGCTTCCCTGAAGGACATCAGAGACCTGCTGGAGGAGGATGAGCTGCTAGAGCAGAAGTTTCAGGAGGCGGTGGGCCAGACGGGGGCCACCTCCGTCCCCTCCAAGGCTGAGCTGGCAGAGGTGAGGCGAGAATGGGCCAAGTACATGGAAGTCCACGAGAAGGCCTCCTTTACCAACAGTGAGCTGCACCGTGCCATGAACCTGCACGTCGGCAACCTGCGCCTGCTCAGTGGGCCACTTGACCAGGTCCGGGCTGCCCTGCCCACACCGGCCCTCACCCCAGGTGAGCCCCACCTGACCCCATTGGGAGACTTGAGCTGGGGGTTTCTCTGGCCTCACTGACCACTGTTGCCCACAGAGGACAAGGCTGTGCTGCAGAACCTAAAGCGCATCCTGGCCAAGGTGCAGGAGATGCGGGACCAGCGTGTGTCCCTGGAGCAGCAGCTGCGTGAGCTTATCCAGAAAGATGACATCACTGCCTCACTGGTCACCACAGACCACTCAGAGATGAAGGTGGGCTGAGTGAGCAGGGTGGAGGGACTCTGGGCCCCACCCTTAGGAGTCGAGACCCTGAGTGTCCATCCCCGGCCCCCACCCCTCCCTCAGAAGCTGTTCGAGGAGCAGCTGAAAAAGTACGACCAGCTGAAGGTATACCTGGAGCAGAACCTGGCCGCCCAGGACCGTGTCCTCCGCGCACTGACAGAGGCCAACGTGCAGTACGCAGCCGTGCGGCGGGTACTCAGTGACCTGGACCAAAAGTCAGTGCCCAGTCCTCTGCTTTTGTCTGGAGCCACCTGGAGCCCACCCCCGTGGTTCACCTGGAGCTGGCCCTTCTGCCCACCAGGTGGAACTCCACGCTGCAGACCCTGGTGGCCTCGTATGAAGCCTATGAGGACCTGATGAAGAAGTCACAGGAGGGCAGGGACTTCTATGCAGACCTGGAGAGCAAGGTGGCTGCTCTGCTGGAGCGCACGCAGTCCACCTGCCAGGCCCGCGAGGCTGCCCGCCAGCAGCTCTTGGACAGGTTCGTGTGGCCCTGGGGCTGTGGTGCAGCTTGGGTCCAGACAGGCTGGGGTGATGGGAGTCTGGCCCCACTTTTTCCCTGCCTGTCCCACAGGGAGCTGAAGAAGAAGCCGCCGCCACGGCCCACAGCCCCAAAGCCACTGCTGCCCCGCAGGGAGGAGAGTGAGGCGATGGAAGCAGGAGACCCCCCCGAGGAGCTGCGCAGCCTTCCCCCTGACATGGTGGCTGGCCCACGACTGCCCGACACCTTCCTGGGAACTGCCACCCCACTCCACTTTCCTCCCAGCCCCTTCCCCAGCTCCACAGGCCCAGGACCCCACTATCTCTCAGGCCCCTTGCCCCCTGGTACCTACTCAGGCCCCACCCAGCTGATACAGCCCAGGGCCCCAGGGCCCGCTGCAATGCCCGTAGCACCTGGGCCTGCCCTCTACCCAGCCCCTGCCTACACACCGGAGCTGGGCCTTGTGCCCCGATCCTCCCCCCAGCATGGCGTGGTGAACAGTCCCTATGTGGGGGTAGGGCCGGCCCCACCAGTTGCAGGTCTGCCCTCCGCCCCACCTCCTCAATTCTCAAGCCCCGAGCTGACCATGGTGGTTCGGCCAGCCACCACCACAGTAGATAGCATCCAGGCGCCCATCCCCAGCCACACAGCCCCACGGCCAAACCCCACGACTGCTCCTCCCCAGCCCCGCTTCCCGGTGCCCCCACCACAGTCACTGCCCACACCTTACACCTACCCCGTAGGGACCAAGCAACCCGTCCCAGCCCAGCACCACTTCTCTCCTGGGATCCCTGCAGGTTTTCCAGCCCCGAGGATTGGGCCCCAGCCCCAGCCCCATCCTTCACGAGCATTTGGGCCTCAACCCCCACAGCAGCCCCTTCCACTCCAGCATCCGCACCTCTTCCCACCCCAGGCCCCAGGACTCCTACCCCCACAGTCCCCCTACCCCTATGCCCCTCAGCCTGGGGTTCTGGGGCAGCCGCCAACCCCCCTGCACACCCAGCTCTACCCAGGTCCTGCTCAAGACCCTCTGCCAGCCCACTCAGGGGCTCTGCCTTTCCCCAGCCCTGGGCCCCCTCAGCCTCCCCATCCTCCCCTAGCATATGGTCCTGCCCCTTCTGCCAGACCCGTGGGCCCCCAGGCAGCCCCTCTTACCATCCGAGGGCCCTCGCCTGCTGGCCAGCCCACCCCCAGTCCCCACCTGGTGCCTTCACCTGCTCCATCTCCAGGGCCCGGTTCTGTGCCCCCTCGGCCCCCAGCAGCAGAACCACCCCCTTGCCTGCGCCGAGGCGCTGCAGCTGCAGACCTGCTCTCCTCCAGCCCGGAGAGCCAGCATGGCAGCACTCAGCCTCCTGGGGGTGGGCAGCCCCTGCTGCAGCCCACCAAGGTGGATGCAGCTGAGGGCCGTCGGCCGCAGGCCCTGCGGCTGATTGAGCGGGACCCCTATGAGCATCCTGAGAGGCTGCGGCAGTTGCAGCAGGAGCTGGAGGCCTTTCGGGGCCAGCTGGGGGATGTGGGGGCTCTGGACACTGTCTGGCGGGAACTGCAAGATGCGCAGGAACATGATGCCCGAGGCCGTTCCATCGCCATCGCCCGCTGCTACTCACTGAAAAACCGGCACCAGGATGTCATGCCGTACGACAGTAACCGTGTGGTACTGCGCTCAGGCAAGGATGACTACATCAATGCCAGCTGCGTGGAGGGGCTCTCCCCATACTGCCCGCCGCTAGTGGCCACCCAGGCCCCACTGCCCGGCACAGCTGCTGACTTCTGGCTCATGGTCCATGAGCAGAAAGTGTCAGTCATTGTCATGCTGGTTTCTGAGGCTGAGATGGAGAAGGTGAGAGGGGCTGGGTGCCCACGAGGGCAGTGTGGGGTGGCAGGGCAGGGGATCCTGGAAAACCAGCCCTGTTTTGGTTTGTCCCTCAGCAAAAAGTGGTACGCTACTTCCCCACCGAGAGGGGCCAGCCCATGGTGCACGGTGCCCTGAGCCTGGCATTGAGCAGTGTCCGCAGCACTGAAACGCATGTGGAACGTGTGCTGAGCCTGCAGTTCCGAGACCAGAGCCTCAAGCGCTCTCTCGTGCACCTCCACTTCCCCACTTGGCCTGAGTTGTGCGTCCACTGCTCTGGATGGTGGCTGGGGGTCTGGGGTGCTGTCCAGTCCTTGGTGCTGGGAGGGATGAGAGCCTCAGATCAGGTCTGGCTGATAGGCTCTTCCCCACCCCATCCTGTCCCACAGAGGCCTGCCTGACAGCCCCAGCAACTTGCTGCACTTCATACAGGAGGTGCACGCACATTACCTGCATCAGCGGCCGCTGCACACGCCCATCGTTGTGCACTGCAGGTAGAGGGTGGGCCTGACAGTCTCTATGCGGGCTCTTGGCCTGGCCTTATTCCCCAGCCTCATAACCCCTTCTTGGCACAGCTCTGGTGTGGGCCGCACGGGAGCCTTTGCGCTGCTCTACGCAGCTGTGCAGGAGGTGGAGGCTGGGAATGGAATCCCTGAGCTGCCTCAACTGGTGCGACGCATGCGGCAGCAGAGGAAGCACATGCTGCAGGAGAAGGTAAGGATCTGGGCAGGTGGGGCTGGGATGGGCCTTCTGTCTCCAGGTGACAGGCCCCTGCCTGGCTGACCCGGCCAAATGCACCTGTGCAGCTGCACCTCAGGTTCTGCTATGAGGCAGTGGTGAGACACGTGGAGCAGGTCCTGCAGCGCCATGGTGTGCCCCCTCCATGCAAACCCTTGGCCAGCGCAAGCATCAGCCAGAAGGTGAGGAAGGTTCCCTGGAAGCTGCCGGGACAGCCACAACCTTGGGACTCCCTCTCCTCACCCACTCTGTCTTCTCAGAACCACCTTCCTCAGGACTCCCAGGACCTGGTCCTCGGTGGGGATGTGCCCATCAGCTCCATCCAGGCCACCATTGCCAAGCTCAGCATCCGGCCTCCTGGGGGATTGGAGTCCCCAGTTGCCAGCTTGCCAGGCCCTGCAGAGCCCCCAGGCCTCCCGCCAGCCAGCCTCCCAGAGTCTACCCCAATCCCATCTTCCTCCCCGCCCCCCATTTCCTCCCCGCTGCCTGAGGCTCCCCAGCCTAAGGAGGAGCCGCCAGTGCCTGAAGCCCCCAGCTCGGGGCCCCCCTCCTCCTCCCTGGAGCTGCTGGCCTCCTTGACCCCAGAGGCCTTCTCCCTGGATAGCTCCCTGCGGGGCAAGCAGCGGATGAGCAAGCAGAACTTTCTGCAGGCCCATAACGGGCAAGGGCTACGGGCCACCCAGCCCTCTGACGACCCCCTCAGCCTTCTGGATCCACTGTGGACACTCAACAAGACCTGAACAGGTTTCGCCTACCTGGTCCTTACACTACATCATCTCTCATGCCCACCTGCCCACACCCAGCAGAGCTTCTCAGTGGGCACAGTCTCTTACTCCCATTTCTGCTGCCTTTGGCCTGCCTGGCCCAGTCCGCACCCCTGTGGGGTGGAGATGTACTGCAGGCTCTGGGTCAGGTTCTGCTCCTTTATGAGACCTGACATTTTTCAGCTCTTTGCTATTGAAATAATAAACCACCCTGTTCTGTGGCCCATGTCTGAGTCTGCCCATTGCTGCCTCAGCTCCAGTAGCACTGGCAGGAACTTAGCACCTTTCGTGGATAACAGGATGGTACCAAACTGTTATACTACCAGGACAGTTCTTTAAGGGTCCTGCAGTTCTGGCTTGCTCATCCTCCCCGCTTTGCTATCTGTGCCATGCTGTATGTTTCCTCAGCAGCTCTGAGGAGGGTCCAGGCAGAGTGTGTGCACAAACAATTCCAAGAGAGACAAGTAGCTCCCAAAGTGTCTGACAGATGTGGTTTTTTAAAAAAGTTTAATATTACAGTCAGGAGGCAGCGGCTGGAAGATACTCGGCTCTTTCCCCCAAGTCCAGGTTCAGTGCATTGGCCCCCACACAGCACCCCAGACCGCTGCCTGGGCAGGGAGGCCCCATGCTCAGTCCAGCTTCTCCAGCACGGAGGGCACATACACCAGGCTGAGCTCACTGCCAAAGTTGCAGACAATGGCAGCGTTGTCCAGCACCAGGATCTGGCGGGCAGGCTGGGCCTCACTGTTCTTCCCCAGGTAGACTGTCTGTAACAGGTCCCCGTAGTTTAGGTCCCAAAAGGAGACACAGCCTTGGCCGCCGGTCACCAGCAGGTTGTCTGAGATGACACCCAAGCTTGCACCACACCCCAGATCCTGGAGGCAAGGACATGACAAGCTCAGTCCTGAGTCCTTCCCTAAAGTCCCAAGAATCCTATGATCCCCACCCCCTCTACCTGCTGAATGGAGTAGAACTTGATGCCTGTGCTGCGGTCCCAGATGCTGATGAGGTCATCCAGGCCACTGCTGATGACACAGGAGGTGGTACAGGTGAGGGAAGTGACATCCCCACGGTGAGCAAACACATGGCTGACCCGGCTGCCAGTCAGTACATCCCACAGGCAGATGGCCCCATCTTGTCCTCCACTGGCCAGCACCATGGTCTGGGGAAACAGGCCAGGGGAGCAGGGTCACTGTGGTGGAGTACCTCTGTCAAAAATGGTGTTCCTGTGCCCTGGTGGGTGGGGCCCTGACTCTGCTTCTTGGAAGGGGCCCAGCTCCCAGGAGTCAGCAAACATGGGCCACAGGCTCTGTACCCCCCTACCCCCCCTGCAGGCCCCTCACCTGGTCAATGTACACAGTCGTGATGGCCCCTGAGTGGCCCTGAAGGGTGAAGAGGCAGCATGAGTCCTCCAGACGGAATACCTGTGACAGGGATGGACCTCAGGTTCTGGTCTCTGGGATTTTCCAAGTTATACTTTGGCTGGGAAATGCCCTCTGTCCTTCACCAGGACTCCTCCAGCCTCTCCCTGACGAATGCATCAGGCTCCCACCCTGTGCCAGGCCACTCCAGCACCCAAGAGATGAGACAGTACTCACTCTTAGCGTGTGGTCTTGACTCCCAGTCACCAAGCGCCCGGCAGCGGCTTTCAGGGCTGTGATGGGTTTTTGGTGTGCACAGGGCACTGTGTGGGTCAGGCGACAGGCCACTGTGTCACTGCTGCTGTACACTGGAGAGGCAGGGGAACTGCCCCGCCCTGGGGTCCCTGAGGACAAAAGGCCAAGTGAAGGATCTCTGAGAAGGCAATGGGCAGACAGCCCCTGCACATCCCACCACCCACCCCAGGCCCTCCGACCTCTAAACTGCAGGGGGCTGAGGGCAGTGTGGGTCTCCAAGGAGAAGAAATCAAGGGAACCGTTGAGCCGCGCAGCCACAATCCTGGAAGAGAAGAACAGCTGCCAGGGGCCTCTCCCTTAGAGCCCCAGGAGAGCCCCAATCCTGGGGCTGAGCATGTGGGCACAAGAGAGATAAAGGGCCAGTTCAAGAAGGGACAGGAGGGACATGGCCAAGAGGAAAGCACATGGTACCAGAACAGATGCTGGAGCCAGAGGGCAACTCCAAATATTAACCTCCTTGTGCCTCAGTTTGTCTGCAAAATAGGGATAAGAGTACCCACCTCACATAATGGTCATGAGAATCAAGTGAGCTAACGTGTAAGGTGGTACCTGGTGAATGTCACATAAGTTTGTAAATTAAAAACAAGCAGAGGGCTCCATGTAGCCTGGAGCTGAAGGGAAGGCTGCTGAGGGGAAACAGGATGCAGAGTGGGCTATGTTGGGCATTGTGGAAGCCTGCATTCTCCATCACATAAAAGCAGCTTCAACCCAATCACAGCCCACACCAATTCCTTTTTCCACAAAGAAGGATTTTTTTTTTTTTGCTCTTCAAAATTCCTAGGTACAATCTGACAGGCAGGGATGGGTATATTTGCCCAATAACTCCAAAGCCTCAAAGCAGGTGGGGTTCAAAATCTTACTGTAGCGAAAGGCAACGCATGCCTACAACCTCTGCCCATGAATTTGAAGGGCCACACCAGACCTGGGGAAGCCACAGTTGTATGATTGGAAGTGGGTGGACAAAGAGAGACCACAGTCACCAGGAACCCTGAGGATCAGGGCTGAGACCTCGGGGCTTTCCTTAAAGCTAAAACAAGCAGCAAAGGAGAATTTCCAAGAAGCAGAGAGGGACCTGGGGAAATTGGCCAGGCTGGAGAGGATGTCAGCCAAGGCCCATGCAGAACCTGTGCTGACAGGAATGACGGCAGCAGCCACTGGCAGAAATGCACAGCACTAAGGGCAAGGGACGCCCCCTCCCCAAGGAAAAAGAAAGACTCCAGCTCTAGGTCAGATGGTGCTGCCACCAAGAGTCAAGGAGCCTTGGAGGAGGAGCCAGTGTGGGACAGGCAGGCGAAGGCGTTCGGTGGAAGGCACCTGGCCATTGGGTGGAGACCCAGGTTCACCAGCTCAGAGGTGGGGCCAGAACCCAGGTGACTGAGACTCCCCAAGGAGTGTGCATGCAGACGGAGCCCTGGCGACGCCCACAGCCAGCAGGCTTGCTGAGGAGGGCAAGCACGACAGGACCAGGGAGAGCAGAGAACAGCCGCCAGCAGCCAAGGAGAAGAGGGTTCTGCAAGCACACTTTGTTTCTGTAACTAAAAATGCAACCAAGATACCCCAAAGGCTCAAGACTGACAAGCTAATCAGAGAAACTGGCTTCATTGAGAAGGGTGAGAAAGGACAGGAGTGTATCACTCCCCACTGTCACTGCTTAAGGCCCTGGGAGGTCACCTTGTGCCAGGCCCAATTCCGAGCACATCACACCCCTAATGCTTTTAATTGTTACCTTCCCATCCAAGTGGACTGCCCTCTGCTTACACGTGTGGGGCTGGTCATCAAGGTCAATCGAAACATACAGTGCAGCAGTGGACAGGAACCAGGACTCAAGACTCAAGAGAGTATGGCCTAGCCAACAAAGGCTGGGGACATCTGGGGCTGGGGCAGGCCACACTCACCTTTTGTCCAAGAAGACCAGAGCAGTAATGCCTGAGGAGACCTCCTCGCTGCTGCAGCACAGCACCCCTTCAATGGCGTCCCACACCTGTAAGTCCAGAGGCTGTGAGCACCTGCCCACCAGAAAGGCCCACAATCCCCGGGGTGGACAGCCGCTCTGCCCACCTTTAGCCCCTCTGCCCACCTCCAGCCGGCCGCTGCTCCGCCCCACCACGATGAGGTGGCCCTGCAGCTCCAAGCTCCAGATGGAACCCTCCGCACTGGGGGCCCAGGCAAGGGAAGGGGAGCCTTTCTCAGGGGAGCCACCCTCGTCCTCAGGGGCCTGGGGCAGCACCGGCCCAGGCGAGGGTGGGCGCAGGGCTGGTGTGCAGACAGCCGCCAGCCCCTCCTCCTGGTACACGCGCTGCACCAGGCGGCTGAAGTCATAGCCTAGGGAGTCCCGAGCGCGGCCACAGACCGCCCGGTGCCGGGGCTCAGGCTGAGTGGGCTGTGAGGGCTGTGGCTGTGCCGAAAAGTTGGTGTCAATTAAGCAGGTGAGGTCAGGCTGGTCCTCGAAGAGGGAAAGCGGTGGAGGGTCCCGGGGGCGGTGTCTCAGGGGAGGGCTGTCCCCAGGCTCCTCTGGGCCAGCCTTCCCACCATCTGAAAGTCGTTCCCAGCTCTCCTGAGCCTCAAGCCCGCTGCCCACGCCACTGTCCCGGCGCTGCCTGCTGGGGGCCAGGATGGTGGAGTGAGAGGGGATGTAGGAGAGGGGGTGTGGGGGAGGGGGAAAGGGTGAGAGGGAGAAGTGAGGGGCCATTAGAGGGGACAAGCGGAGAGGGTGCGGTGTGGGGGTGGGAGGGAGCCTGGAGGGGTTGGGGGATACCTCAGAGGGAGAAAGGAGGGGAGATACATGGCTGCACGGGGTAGGTGGTGGGGTGAGGGGGGTGGGGGGGCACAGAGGAGAGGGCAGCCGCACCTACCCTGGGCGCGGGATACGCGTGAGGCAATCCCCGGTCTGTGCGTCCCACACACAGACGTGGCCTGCCAGGCAACAGCTCACCAGCAGCATGCCGTCGCTGGCCAGGCACTCGATATCCTGCGGGAGCCCAGTGTTGGTGTGGGCCAGGCCCCAGCCCTCCCCTGCCTGGCCGCTGTGCCCCCGCTCACCATGAGGTGGCCGCGCAGGACCAGCGGCACAATCTCCGTCTCAGGTGGTGCATAGCCGTAGTCGTCGCAGGGCAGCTCTCCGCGCCTCCGCCGCCCGGGCCCGCTGCCCGGCTGCCCGTAGTTGCGCGGGCACAGCACGCGGTACAGGCAGAGCAGCAGCAGCACCAACACAATGCCCGCGGCTAGACCCAGTGCCGCCACCCTGCACGGGAAGGCGGACTGCTGTGAGACACACCTCATAGCCTGTCCCCTCCCCTCCTCCCTCTCCCCTACTCTTGCCCACCTGTCCCCCTCCCCGCACTCTATCCCACCCCACCCCACCCAGCAACCTTACTTGTACAGTGTGACGTCTCCATGGGCCTGCACCCCACCTGGGCCCTTGGGTCCCGCTTCCCAGTGCCCAGCAGGTATGGGCCCCGGTGGGGGCCAGGCACTGCGGCCATCCTGAGGGTGCCGGCCCTCCAGGGCCTCCCTCGGGTTCAGGCGGAGTGTGACTGGGATGACGGGCAGCAGGCTGATGTACCTGGATCCGGACAGTGGGCAGCCTCAGCGGGGGGCCTCCCAAGGCTTCCTCCTACTGTGCCTGCCAGCCAGTCCGCTCCCTCCTCCCCAGGCAGGCCTCAGCTCCACCGGCCAGACTCTCCCAGCATGGGGGTTGGGGACAGAGGTAGGTCCCTCCCCAGCCCAGCCTAGCAGCCAACCTTGCTGTCCCAGATACCAGCACCCAAGCAGCCCTTCTGACCGTGTGGGGTATCTCCCTCCCCACTCCTGGCACAGGTGGGTGGGTCTCATTCTAGCGAGGGCTGGCAGCCACCTGTGACTCCTCAGAGGAACCTGGGGTTGCTCTTGGGTTATGGCTGCCTAGACCACCAGTTCCCACCTCACAACCTTATGAATTGTTTTAATTATTTGCAGAATTCAAACTGTGGGCCTCCTACATTGGGGAAAGGGGATGGTGAGTTGACACCATCGAGTGAGGAGGTGGCACCTGGCATGGCCCAGCTCACCTCTTGGCCAGTGTGATGTTGTAATAGCTGAAGAGTGTCGGCCAGTGGCGGAAGGACAATTTCCTCCAAAGTTCCTCATCCTCAGGCCCCCAGGTTACCTCTGGGACTGGGCTGTCATGGACAACCTCTGCTGGACCTCCATGCTCAGGTGGCTCGCCTGGTGATGTCTGGTTCTCAGGTAGCTTAGGGGCATCAGGTGGGAAGATGGAGAAGGCAGGGTCCGGGTGGCTGGCGGGCAGCATGCCACTAGGCACGGGCATGGGAGCCAGGGCTCCCTCACCCAGTGGGCTCTGTTCCGTCACCTGGGCAGCGAGGTAGGTGCGCAGCCCTGCTGGGTCTGTGTATACCAGGATGCCAATCCAGACAACGGTGCCAGCCTGCAGTGGAGCAGGGTACTCAGTGGGAGGAATGGGCCTCAACCACAGCAGCTTCAGCCCTCATGCTGAGAGGAAGCAGCACGGGGACCTGAGGCCTAGGGATGGAGAGAGGACACAGGCCCCACTGTGTGCTTTCCTCCTGCCTCTCCGAGTCCTCCTGCTAACACCTGCCAGCACTTGCTGCTGGAGGGCCTGCTTCCCTTTCCACAGTTAGGGGCTGAGTTTCTTGGCCTGGAAATAGACTGAACCACCCTGAGGTTTGACACAGAATGTCCCCGTCCCTAATCTCCACCTCAGCTGGGATCAGAAAGCTGCTGCCATTCATATGGTCAGCATGGCCAGAGGGCCAGCTGCCTGACCTGCTCCAGAGTCCCCCAGAGGGCCTAGTCTCAGGGGGCCTCAGCCTTCCTCCCGTCTCAGTTCAACTCCCTGGGAGAGGCACTGCTGCCCCACAGCCAGCGCAGCCTGGCTGGTGACTGATTTTGCCCAGCACTTTCCACTGTCTGCACACCATGCAGCGGCCGATGAAATGTGGCCCAGGGAAATGTGGTGGCCACAGGTGGGTCCATCCCAGAGCACTCAACTAACAGGCTCCTGTCCTGGGCCACTCTCGGGAGAGGATGGCTCCTGTACCTGAGAGCCCTGGAGCTGCTTCTCCCACAGGCTTGTCTCCTCAGAAGCCACCAGGGTCTGGGCAGGGAGGACACAACAGGCAGCTCCCCAGAGCCAGGTTTCCAGGGGCCACCAGAGCCTGAGGAGCATCCCTCGCCACTCTAAGGCCAAGTGCAGCACCACAAGAGGCCTGGAGCGCTGGCCCTCCAGAAGAGGGCAGGGCAGGGGTGGCAGGTACCATGATGAGACGCTGTGCCAGGCGGGTGCGGGCCAGGAAGTAGACAACACGCAGCCTCTTGGGGAGCCGCAGGTTTCGGAAGGAAGACGGCTGCAACGTGATGGTGTGGGGTGTGGACGGCCGCACAGCCAGCTGCCGCTCGTAGCGCGTTGGCTGCCCCACTGGCTTGGCTGAGGGTAGGCAGGCCTCAGGGGGCAGCCGCTTGTTCAGGTCCGCTAGCTGTTGGGGGCACAGTGGTCAGGGCCCGAGTCCACCATCCAGAGGGCGCCCGCACAGGACCACTGCCCTGCCCAAGGTCCACACCCTTCTCACCCAGGAATCCCTCAGTACAGCCAGGGCTGAGGAGGTGGACGGGGCAAGGCTCAGCCCACTCCTACCTCCATCCGGCGAATGTCAATGGACAGGACAGTGGTGAAAAACAGCATCTGAAGGAAGAAGTCAGACACCAGCCCCACGACGGCAAAGAGACAGAACTCCTGGAATCAGAGCACACAGGGTGGGGTGGAGGGGAGGCGGTGCCATGACCTGACTGCCCCAGCCCTAGAGGAGCAGTGCCCGGACTGCAGCCACCTCAGAACCAGCAGGGCAGCAGCAGGCAGGGCACAGCAGAGATGAAGAGAGATGCTGGTTGGTCCTCAGCTCACATACCACTAGCAGCTCACCCTGTCTCCACCAGGGGGCAGCAGAAACCCTCACACTTTCTTCAGAAAGGGCTGAAAGGGGAGGGGGGAGTACCTTCCTTGAATCTTCCGGTCCCCCTAGAGAGGACTGAAGGCCTGATCCAACCTGGAAACCTCTAAGCCCCACCAGCCTGCTCCCCAAAAAGTCCTTCCCCACTGAGCCCCCGCCCTGCTCATGCATCACCAACCCAGCCAGAGCCCAGGCCTGATTCAGGGGCTCTCAGAAAGGTTCCCAGCCAGCAACTGCCCTGGAACAATGGAGAGAGAGAGAGGGATTAACTCTCCTCTAAAATCGAAAAAGGGTGAGCTCTCTGCTCCCCAAGCTCTGTCAGCAGACAGAATTTTCTGAGATGTCGGTGTTGAGACCTCTAGCGCATCACCACAGTGCTACTCGGATCTGGGGTAAGACCATGGGGTAGATAGTGGCACAGTGGTTGTCTCAGCTCTAACGTCCCAAGACTACCCTATCCTGCAGATACTACTGTTTTCCAGGAGAAGCAGCCCACAGCCCATCTGTTCTCTGTTCACCCCCATCTCTCAGCTGGCCTGCCAGCCCTGGGGGAAAGATGGGGGAGAAAAGATGGCATCCTCCCCTTCCTGCAACTCCTGTTGGAATGGCCGGCATCAGTCTGAGGTTCCAGCTCAGTGCAGGGCCACCTCCACCTCTGCTCACAGCCCACAGCTGAGCAAGGGCACTTTGCCAAGAGCAGGGTCACTCTGGGCAATGGGTGGTGGCCCTCCACAGGTCAGGCCAGGCAAGGCCTCTTGTCTGGAGATTGCAGCATGGGTCAGGGCCAAAGGAGGAGACCGGAGGAAGGGTCTAGGAACCCCACGGTGCTTCTCCCTCAGAAATGGGAAACAGGTGTGACTGAAATGGCACAGCCAGTCCCCAGTTTCTGCCATGCCCTTGCGGCCTCCTCCTGCCACCTGGCTGAAGGGGAAGCAGGCAGGGAGGGGTAGGAAGAGAGGGTCAAGCGCAGAGCCTGCCTGGCTAGGCACTCAATCTCAGAACCCAGCCAGAGTTTGCTGAGCACTTCTGAGTCAGGCGTGCCAGGGGCCATCTGTGTGCTATAGTGATCCGCTTGCCAGGCAAAGAGGTCCCACCTCAGAGGCAAGGATGCCTGTGCTGAAGAGGGGAGCACCCTGTCCATGGCTGCACAGCTGGGGAGCACAGCAGTTGCTTCCATGCTCATCCAGGTGGCAGGCCTTGGGGCCTTACCTGGATGGCAGGCACTAGGGTGAAGTAGCCAATGAGGATGATGCCCAGCTCCGTGGCCATGTTCTTCATGATGGACCAGCTCTCGCTGCTTAGGCCTGCAGAGGGCAGCAACAGGGCACAGGGCAGCACGTGGCCACTCAGCGACATGACTCACACAACCTCAAGAGCCTCAGAGTGGCAGAGGCATGGGGAGGGCCCCCAGCCCTCTGAAGCAGCCATTCCACCAAAGCACCCCAACCCTCAGGGCCCTGCTAATGCCCAGACTCTAAGGGGCTGTCACCACCACACAGCTGCTACAGGGAACAGGTGTTCACAGCCTGGAGGATGCAGGGGAGAGCTATAACCATCAGAAGGGGGAAGCAGCAGAGTGGAGATGAGAAAATCCACAAGGAAAGCCAAGTGCCACCCACTCCAGCCACATCCAACCTCCGCATGTGGTTCTTGTCTGGTCTGTATGGGCCAGCATGAGAGTGTGCCCACCAGCCACATGGCAGAAGCACTCAGGGGGTGGAGGAGCTGGCTGCGTTCTTCCTCAAGCCCCTTCCTGTGGTGAGCCCTGATCCCATGCTATCACACTGTCACATGTCTAAGGCTCTGTGCTCCTACTGGGCAAGGACTATTTCGCCCCATGTCTTCCTAACTCCATATCCAGCACGGGGCCTGGCTTATCACAGAGGCTCACAGAGGTTTGCTGGATGAATGGACAGCTGCCTACAGTCCTGTTCCTCACAGACATAGGGTGACAGGAGGTGACGAGGAAGACGACGCTCAAGTGACCAGACCTCCAAGGCCGCTTCTCCCTTTTCTCATTTTCCCCAAAACCCCAGATCCCCAGCTTCTACCAGCAGGGCCAAAGGGAGCTTTTCTGGCAGCCATGAAGGCAGCATCTCTGAAACGGCCAGACCCTGGGGCTTGGGCTAGTGTGCTGGACTGAGGCAGTAAGAGAAAATACTAGGCACCAAAATCCCCAAACAGAAAGTCACCACCAAATACAAGCCCCACCCACACTGAAGTGCAGTGGCGTGATTACAGCTCACTGCAGCTTTGACCTCCCAGGCTCAAGCAATCCTCCCACCTCAGCCTCTTGAGTAAGTGCGACCACAGGTGCATGCCACTATGCCCTGCTAATTTTTGTATCTTTTGTAGAGAGGGGGTTTAACTATGTTACCCAGGCTGGTCTCGAACTCCTGGGCTCAAGTGATCCACCTGCCTCAGCCTCCCAAAGTGCTGAGATTACAGGTGTGAAGGTGTGAGCCATGGCACGCAGCCTGGTTTGCTTTCTTACTGACACATGAACCAGGACAAAGTACAGTCCAGTGGCCCCATGGCTCCCCAGGGCACACACTCAAGAGCTGCCAGGGCCCAGTGGCCCACTGCATATTATGCTGGAGGCAAGAGCAAGGGACATTTCAGGGGCTCTGTTTGCTCACAGAGCATCAGCAGCAAGAGGAACAGGCCCCTCTCCAGCCCCTCCTGCAGCCCCCTGCCCAACTCTCCCACTGTGTTACCTTGGGCGATCCGCAGCTTCACCTCCAGGTCTACCGGGGTTGAGACCACGGACTTGGTGAGCACCAACACGTTCTCTAACCCAATAACCACCACAAGGTAGGGGAAAATCTCGCTGGGGACAGAGAAGGAGAAGGTGAGGACAGTGCTGTGGTGGTTCCCAACAGACTTGGGCCCTCAGGAAGGCTATGGGGTTTCCAGCCTGTTACAGGGGCTGCTGAGTGACTCCCACAACCACTGGGCAGAAACCCTCCCCTGTCCACCTTACCCAACAAGGCCTGCATCTACACAGTGCTCAGCTTTCAGGCAGGCTCCAGAGCCTTGTGGAGGGGCCAGCAGCTGTCCTGTCTCTAGCCATCTGGCTCAGGGGGGCTGGGAGAGGCCCCTCAGGGAGAGCTGTGCAGCGCCACTGCTAGACCACACTTCTCCCCGCCCTTCCCAGGAGGACTGCTGGCTAAAGACAATGACTGCTGCCAAAACCCAAGCCAGTAACTCTGGGTGGACCCATCACAGCTAAATATGCAAGATGAAACCACCCTGAAGGCCCACTCACCTTTGTTGAGAAGCTGTGTGCGGAGAATAACTGTTCCTACGGAAAGCTCTACCAGCTATCTGAGCCCACCGTCCCACACTCCCCGCAGCAGAACCTATGAAAGTCTATGTGCGAGGAACGCCAGCTGAGTTATAACTTGCGGGACCTCTGCTTTGGAGCCGAAGGAAGGGAGGGCCCCTGTAGAGGGTACGGCAGACGGTATGGGAGGGCGGTGTTTAACACCATCAGGCTCAGGAAAGGGAGCAGGTATCTAAGAGCAAGGAAACTACCAGAAACAAAACACGACATCGCTTTTCATACGACCAGCCTGATGGTCCAAGGTGGGGGACAGGCCAATCCATAATCCATTAATAACCATTAACAGACAGGCAGGTGGGCCTATCCAGAGCCAAGATCAAAGCCTGAGGACAAGCCAAGGGAAGGGCTTCCAGACTAAGGTTCAGAGAGGAGCGGCAAGGGGAAAGTAAACATCGGTGGAAAAGGCAACAAATTACAGTGTGCTCATATCTTCCAAAGAGCTTCCTCTAAAACGACCTATTTCATTAGGCATTTAAATGTTCTAATTATGAAAAAAAAGAAATGTTCTCTATCTCACACCTCCAGTGGCTTAAGCCATCAAGCTGGAGTGTGTGTGCGGTGTGTGTATATAGAATATATAAACACAGATGCACAAATCCGACTACACACATGCAATACATACTCATGTATACACAAACACACATACCAACACACACCCCATATATACACACCCAGCCCACAAATACACACTTCTGTACATATGGACACTCACTATAGCTAGATATGCTATATACAAACACTAGTATGAATACAAGCCAGACAAAGAAGAGGAAGAAGATGTACCTCTTAAATGTCAAAAACGACAATGTGAAGACGTGAGGTCACAGCAAACACCCAGTCCAGGGAAGGCCAAGTACCCAGAAGTGCAAGGCTCTCTGGCCTGAGCCCACCCGGTGGCCCAGTGGAGCCTGCTGAGGACCTACCCGCCATTGAGGGTGGGCGTCAGGCCGAAGAGTGTGCAGAGTCCCACAGACATGAGCAGCGAGCTGAGCACTGTGACCACGGCGGCCAGGGCCAGCCCCCACTTGGACTTGACCATGTCGATCTTCCCTGGAGGGCAGAGAGGGCACATCAGGGCAGCCCCTCCCACAGCCCCTGGCCCACAGGGGCTCTCGGGAGTAGGTTGCCCTGACAGTTGAGGAAGGGAAAGCCCCTGGTTTCACCAAAGGAAAGGGATAGGCACAAGTACTTCCCAGTGTCATGGACATAGTACACCTTTTAGGAACCCTAACCCAGGAAGGGGCTGAAAGTGAGAAGCGCCCCGGACCCACCCAAGCTCCTAAGACCCTGCTGGGGGATAAAGCCCTAGCTCTGACGACCACCAGGTGTGTTCTGTCTCTCTACCCCAAGCCACCTCCAGAGGCAGGGAAGCAGGTGACATGGAAATGCCCGTTTAGCTTGGAGAAAGCTCCCGGTCTCCCTGCCATGAACCTACGCGTGGAGAAGTAGATGTAGGCAAACAAGATGATGTAGGTGGTCACAAGGGGGATGAGCTCAGCAACACCAATCTCCTCCTTGAAGTGCACGTGGACCAGGCTCTCCGCCCGAAGGCTGCAGTTGGGGCTGGGGTGCAGAAGCATCAGGCGGGCACGCAGGCTGCCCAGGAACCTGGTCAAGGAGCAGGGTAGGGGTAGATGGAAGTGTTGCTCTTGGTTCCGGGGACAAAGACAATCCTTGGACAGAGGGTCCATTAGGACCTCCCTCCTGCCCCTGTGTTGGAAGGGAACTTCTCTCTGGTGCCTGAGCTCCTCTGTAGTCTCCAGGGGCGCTGGGAAAATCACAGAGGGGCAAAGTTTTCTCAGGAGCCCTTCCTGCTCCTTTCTCAGCTTCCCTTTCCGGACCTACTCTACACTCACTTTTTATTTATTTTCCTATTTTATTTTTTGAGACAGAGTCTCGCTCTGTCGCCCAGGCTGGAGTGCAGTGGCGAGATCAGGGCTCACTGCAAGCTCTGCCTCCCGGGTTCACGCCATTCTCCTGCCTCAGCCTCCGGAGTAGCTGGGACTACAAGCGCCCGCCACCTCGCCCGGCTAATTTTTTGTATTTTTAGTAGAGACGGAGTTTCACCATGTTCGCCAGGATGGTCTCGATCTCCCGACCTTGTGATCCGCCCGTCTCAGCCTCCCAGCATCTGGGATTACAGGCGTGTGCCCCCACGCCTGGCCTCCAACACTCTTGATTACCAAAGGCCCAGGAGAGGCGATCAGAAGCACCTCGAGTGCCGTTGCCAGTTAGGGAGGTGCCTGCAGTGCCCCACTGGGAAGGACTCAGGCCATACAGGGCTCACTAGCAACCAGCTGGGGATGCCTGCCCTAGGCTCAAGAGAGACCAGAGGAGGCACCAGGACACTGAGACTGCCAGCCCTGCCTTAGTCCCCTATGCTTAACCAGCTGTCAGGTCATCCCCATTAAAATGTGGTAGACAGTATCATCTAGTGTAAGGGATGTAAACATTTCAACAGGAGGCCTGGAAACTCTCCAAGTTTCCAGCGGGGCATTCAGAACACTCTAACCAGAAGAGGGACTACTCAAAGCCTCATGTCACCCAGCAGACCAGTCAAGAGCCCAGGGTGCTGTCAATCTTACTTGGCATGGTAGCGCTGGAAGACCAGGGTGATGGTGTAGGAGACCATCCTCTTCCTGGTGTAGAGGCTCACCCCGCTGTACTTCCCGGGAACACCAAACAACAAGTCTGCAAGTAGAAACCAGCAGGTACTGACAAAGAAATGACAGCTACTGCAGAGCCACCAAGGACCCCTTTTTCACCCCCACCCTGGGAACAAAGGGTAAACCCTTATCTGCCTAAGTACACATCAAAAAGACAGTGACCAATGGGCACCCTTGCAGGTCTGAAGGGAACTTGTACTGCGGCTACCTTTGAGTGTGGCTGAAGTCTGCAGGGTTTTAGGCTCGTGCTGGTGGATGGTCCCAATGATGTCAGGATCAGCATGGAAGCGTTCCCGGTCATTCTGCCAGAAATTCCCAGGGGACAGCAGCAGGCATCCATGCTCAGGGAGTAGGTCCCTGAGCTTCCTGAGGCCTGGCAGCAGGTCGGTCACTTGCAGACACAACTCCTCCAAGCTCCTGGTCCCAGAGCTGCACAGGAGACAGGACAAGGAACCTGCTGTGTCTGCCACCACAGGGCAGATCTGCGGTACTTAGGGGACGTCCTCTGTCTGTTCTTCAATACCCCATATTTGCTCTCTGGTAATGCCAAAGAGCCTGACCACTAGGGCAGCAGGGGGAAAGTACTTCCAGGTGGCCAATAACCTAACCATGTGGCTGTCTGACTTCAAGTGCATCTGAGGCCCAAAAGCCCATCAGCTCTGAGGACAGGCAAGTGTACTATGAGAGCATGCACAATCCCGCCCACTAAAACACCCTGGCCAGTTCAGTGGATGAGGAGGGACGGGGGTAAATCTGGGGCTTCATTTAGTTCACCAAAATATCTGTCAACGCCACTAGCTAACTAAAACCTGGCAGTGATGCAGCTTGCCAATTACACACATTGTATGCCGAGCCAGCATAACCCAGGGACCCACTGACAGGCAGGGGAGCACAACCTGGGCTGGGGCTTCAGAAGGTAGCCCCCGGTAGAGCTTGCTTCTCGTCGGCAGAGACACCACCATTACATTCACACCATAACCCACAGGCAGGAAGCCACGCAGGTCATGAGTCAGCTCAGTGGACACTGACTCCATCTGAGATGTAAGGATGAGACTCAGGGCTATGTGTGTGCCATCTGCATAGGTCTAAGGGGAATGCAGCCACTGTGGGCCCTCAAGGATGCTGAGAAATTCAAGGCTGGCTCACCCTCCATCCTTCTTGCTTGTTCTATCTCTGCAGAGCTGACTGGCTCACTGGAGTTACACTGAGGACTGTAACTCTCCCTTCAGTACAGAATGGGATTCAGGGAGGCAAGGGTCCCTGAGGGGGTACCTGTCTCTCAGCACGTGGTTCCGGATCTCCTCCACCAGTTGGAAAGCCCGGGACAAAGGTGAACGAAATACATCTACTGCCAGGAGGTTCTTGTGCCAGGGAAACACTGAGGATTTCACAAATATCTGCTGGACGTAAGCCACCGGGGCACCCACATACTGCAGAAGAAATGAGGGAGGGCAGAAAGGGCAGCTGAGCACAGGAGGAAGGAACACGGTCCAATTCAAGGGATTTAATGGGCATTGGAAACCATGCCCCACAGAGTTAAAGAAACCAATGACTAACACAAGTTCTTGAGTTTGCAGGATGGCAGATAAGAAAAGAAACAATTTGCTGAAACCCAGAAACTCCCTCCGCTTATGAGATAAAAGAACTGGCTGAAATAAGCTGGAACCAAGATGGCCGACTGGAGTTGTGCAGAATGACCCTGCCGCCATCGCAGCCTGAATTTCCACTGCATGTTTCATACTGACTCCCCTGGAATTTGCACGTGAGACGCATGAGGTGGCATCAAGAGATAACTGGGCATGCTCAAGGACTTTCCAGAAATCCCCCTTCCTTCCACCAATCATCTGCTAATCCTAGTATCCACCCTCTAAACCTTTTCTAATAAAATTACTGCCTTAAAGCCAGCACAGGGAGACAGATGTGAGCTGGACTCCTGTCTCCTAGGGAGTCAACCTTCAATATAAAGCTTTCTTTTCCCCAAATCTCAGTGTCATAAGTATTGGCTTCTAGCACATTGGGCAGCGAGCCTCTTTTGCTCAATAACACATCTACTATGGGCAAAGCGTATGTGGGACCAGGTGTAGGCAAACTATGGCCTGTAGGCCAAATCAGGGCCCATGCCTGTTTTTCTTTTTGAGACAGGGTCTTGCTCTGTTGCCCAATCGTGGCTCACTGCAACCTCAATCTCCCAGGGTCAAGAGATCCTCCCACCTCAGCACCCCCACCCACCAAGTAGCTGAGACTAGAGGTGTGCACCACCATGCCTAATTTTCAAAAATGTTTTGTAGGGATAGGGTATTACTATGTTGCCAGGCTGGTCTCGAACTCCTGGGCTCAAGCGATCCTCCCATCTTGGCCTCCCAAAGTGCCACACCTGGCTAACTTCTTTATTTTCTGTAGAGATGGGGTCTCATTATGTTGCCCAGGCTGGTTAGTGCCTGTTTTTCCACCTCCAATTTTTACTGAAGCACAGCCACACCCCTACCATTACTATTGTCTATGGCTGCAACAGAGGCCGTCTGGCCCGCAAAGCCTAAATGCTTACTATCTAGCCCTTTATGGAACATGTCTGCTGACCGCACTATAGACTCCACACTCCCCAAAGCATGTAGCCTGTCTTACTGATCCAGGTTTTGTCACTTGCAGCCGAGTAGCGGGTTTTGAAGATCAAAGGACCCAATTTTAAATCACAGCTTTCCAAACATATGACCTTGGAAACACTTTTGACATCTCTGGATTTCAATTTCCTCACTGTGAAAGAGGAACGACGACATTCACCCTGCAGCATCAAGATGTATGCACACACCACACACGCATACACACAGTGTCTGAGAGATTAGCAGAAATATCAGCAATGAACAATCAGGCATTTCACTTCATCCGACCCTCACAACAGCCTGATGAGAAGCAAGGAGAGACTCAGGCATCGTGCCCGCCTAGAGCTTCACACTCCAGGCAGAGTGGTGCAAGGACTCAAACCAAGGTTCCCTCACTAAATATCACACACTTTTCTCACTAGAATCTGCCATCTACCCTTCAAGAGCTTAACAGGGATGTAAATGACAAGCGTGTTCACACATGCAACCCTCAGTGACAGGCATGTCGCGGAGCACCCCAAAACATGCTGGGTCAGCCATGGCAAGATTACGGCCCAGGAGAAGCTAAGTGGAGCCATAAAGTTAGAAAAGAACAGGTAGGAGAGGGGCAGGAGGGAATGTGAGTTGCAAGGGATGCTGAGAGCACAGAAGGCACCAAGGAAACCTGTCAGGGGATAACAGAAATTACGAGGAAGATGACAAGCAGGCTTAGACTGAAGCCTGACTAAGCTGTCAGAATTTTAATCAATTGACAAAGCGAAGCCCAGTGTCTCTGAGGTGAAGGGCAACCTGATGAAAGCAGTGCTCTGGAAAGACTCCCCTGGAGGTGGTGACAACTGGAGACAAGGAAAGACGGTCCTAGACAGTGGTGTACTGCGAGCTATGGACTGAAGGGGGCAGGGCCCAGCCCAGCTGAGGGATGAGGGGCTGTCCCCACACCTGGGCTGCAGTCAGGAACTCCAAGGGGCATGTGTGTGGATGAAGGGGAGGTCACAGGGCCACTCACCGACGCAGTACTCCAGGTTACAGCATAGGCAAGGGCCAAGATGCTGAGCAAGCAGAGCAAGTTAATGCCTCCTGGGACCCTGGGCACAAAGGAACCAGAGGCAACCATCTGAGCCTTGTGAACTTGATGTGGCTGTGCCTTAGTGAGGGCTCTGGGGACAAAAGGCCTCGTCCACTTTGTCTTCTGTACCACACTCAGCCACTAAAAGCTGCTGGGAGGTACAGAGGCACCTGGATGGAGCTGGCCACCACAGGCTGTGACCAGAAGCTCACACAGGCCTGAGCAGGGAAGGAGCACTAACCTGGTAAGGAAGAGGTGGGCAGGGCCCACACTCACTGTGCTGAGCTCCCACAGTCTCTACTTAATATTCAAGAGAGAAATGGACATAGAAACACTGGTATCTTGAGTGGGTGATGGAGGAAGTAAGGGCCAGTGGGGTCCAGATGCCCCTAGGCAAAAGACTCTTAACAGTGAGAGGCTGTGGCAGGCAGCCTTCTAACACAGTCCCCAGCAGTCCACACCTCCTGGTGCTCATGCCCTTGTGTAATCCCATCCCCTTAAGAGTGGGCTGGACCTAATGATCTGCCTCTGACAAACAAATACAGCCACAGCAATAAGAAATCACTCTTCCAATTAGGTTACAAAAGACTATGACTCCTTCTCCCACCCTGGCCCCGTTCTTTTGGGAGCCACCACTCTGATGAAACCAGCCACCACACTGCGAGCTGCTCAGGGAAGGCCTATGTGGCAAGGAATTGAGAGAGGCCTTCAGCCAACGCACAGTGAGGAACTGAGATCCTCAGCCCAACAGCCTGTAAGGAACCTACCTTTAAGTGGGCTTGGACGGGGGTCCTCCCCGAGTTGACCTTTGAGATGGCAGCAGCCTTGGCTGAGGGTTCTATTGTAGTCTTGTGAGAGACCCTGAGCTAAAGGACCCAGATAAGAAAACCATGGCTCAGAGAGATAAAATGAAGTGTCCGAGGTCACACAGTTGATAGGCAACAAAGCCAGGACTGAAACTCAGAGCTGGGTAGCTCTGAAGAATGTGAGTCTCATGGAGAACAACATGCAGAAGGAAAGGCCTAGCACAAGCAGCGTGGGAGAGGAGCTGAGGTTCTGGGGGCCCTGGAGTCTCCAGCCACCATAGTTCAGAGCATGAGGCTCCCACCCAGAGCTTCCTGGAAACCCTGTGTCCACGCTCACACAGCCACCACAAACACTGCAATGTTGGCCATAGAAGTCTGGCATGCAACAAGCCCAGCCACCGCTGTGGACCTGCCAGCTGGTCTTGGTGTGAGGCTCAAGTTTTCACAATGAGCCAGTCTTGGGGACCCAGGCAATGCTGGAGACCTCAGGTTTTTGAAAAACAGAATCCTTCCTTTCTATTTAGATAGAACAACCTAGAGCTCCAGGTATTTTACCTTCACACTGGTGCACCCGTGGGCTCCCTCAGAACAGGATGTGGAGGACTCCTGCCACTCAGCTCTTCCTACAGAAAAGACCTCCTGATCCTTGCCCTCCAACCCTGGTGGGCAAGGGCTATGGTGGGAAGAGCAGGCTCAGGAGACCTGCCTGAGTTCCAATCCCAGTGCCACCACTCCCTGGCTGTGTCCCTTGGATGATGGTCTCTATACTCTCCAAGCCTTGTCCCTTACTGAGGGAAATGAGAATAAAACCTCAGACCTCACTAGAGCACCGTGAGGACCAAACAAAACAACTCCTGGGAACCATCTAGATCTAGCAAAGTATCTGAAAATGTATTCGTTATATCATTTCTATTATCCCCTAAAACTATGAAAACTGGAGTTGGTGTCCCATGCACAATCATCTCAGTCTACAAGTTTCTCCAAATTCAATACGATGGGTCTCCTTATCACCACTGTCATCGAGTCATTGCCTCTAAGGGAATGGCTTCCCAATGCCTACGGAATTAAAAGTTTAAACTTCACAGGCCAGGAGATTCAAGTTGGTTCCACCTACCACGCTCCAAGAAAAACTGCAGACTCACTGTCTCCTAAATAAGCCACGCTGTTTCTTTACTCAACAAGAAACCTTTCTTGAGCATCTACTCTGTGTAAAACACTGGAGTATATAAACTTGAAGGAAACATGACTCCAACGGGGTCGTCATGTAGAACACAGAGAAGAAGCAAAGGACACACTGCAAGAGCTGGGGAAGGCTTCCTGGAGCTTCACGGAGCTGAGAGATAAAGCCTAAGGAGGGTACTCCTGGTGCACACCACAGGGCAGTCCAAGCACACGGATCTTCATTCTCCCCTCTGTTTGACCAGCCAGACTTGATCAATGACAATGATGGCAATGGCGACAGCCACAAACACTGCTGAATGCAAGCGACAGGCCAGGCACTGTGCTAAACCCTTGCATTCTTTCGCTTAATCATATGAATTACAGTGTATAATGTAGGTATAATTATCCCATTTTATGGATGTAGAAACTAAGGTACAAGGTGATAGTAACTTGCCCAAGGTCACAAAGCTGGAAAACGTAGTCTCTACTGTTTCTGCTTTGTTCCTCTCTTCCTCTGGTAAAAACATCCCTCTGCCCAGAGAGAACCGCCCTTCCCCAAGAGTGGCCACAGAGGCCAATGGTCACAGTGACGACACAGGGTAAGCCTAACTCTGAGCACAAAGACATGGCAGAACTGACTGGAGTCCTTTCTGGAGGACACATAAAGGTTTAACTGTAGGGTGCAGCCATCAATCTCATTGTGGAGAAGCACCTAGCAAAAGGGGAGGAGGAGGGCTACATAAAAAGAGAGCCATCTCCAACAGAGAGAAAAATCCACAATTCAACAAAAAGAAGTCAAACAACTCAAAATGGGGACATCTGAACACACACATCACAAAGGAAGACAGGCAAATACAATAAGCACTTGAAAAAGGGACTAAGGTCATTAGTCATCTGGGAAATGAAAATTCACATCACAATCACAATGAGATTTCTCTATATTAGAATATGGCTTTTAAAAAAATCCAAACAACTGAATACACCAAGAACTTTACAGCACAAAGACTGAACCTTAATGTATGGGAATTTTTCAATAATTTAGAAGGCCAAGGTATATAAAAAGAAGGACATTTCACCTCTGTAGTCCTCATTCTGAAAACCAAAGTCCACAGTGAAATTCTTAACCAAAGTCCAAAGTATATTCAGATTTTCTCAAGTTTTTGCCTAATGTCCTTTTTCTTTTCCAGGATCCCATCCAGGAAACCACGTTATGTTTAGCTGTAGTGTCTCCTGAGGCTTCTTGTAGCTTGTGACAGTTTCTCAGACTTCTCTTGCTTTTGATGATACTGACAGCTCGAGGGGTACTGGTCAGGCATTTTGTAGGGTGTCCCTCAACTAGGATTTGTCTGATGTTTTACTCATGATTGGACTGGGGCTATGGGTTTGGGGGAGGAAGATCAGCAGTAAAATGTCCTCCTCCTCACATACCAAGGGCACAATCAATCATTGTGATTTATCACTGCTGCTTTAACCCCAATCACTTACTGTAGGAGGTGTCTATCAGGCTTCTCCACTGTAAAGTTACTTTTTCTCACAATCACACTGTCCTCTTTGAAAGAAAGTCATCAGGCATAGTCCACACTTTAGGATACATTACTTAGAATTATTTTGCCCAGGAAATTTGTCTATTGTCATCCATTCATTTATTTATATTTATTCAAGCATATGGACTCAGGATGGACTCACAAAGAATTATTTTATATTTTGGGTTATAATTCAATACAGTTATTTGTTCAAAATGCTTACGGCCAAGGCACAGTGCTCACGCATGAATCCCACACTTTGAGGCGAGGCGGACGGATCACCAGGTCACCGTGATGGGAAGACCATCCTGGCACATGGTGAAACCCCGTCGCTACAAAACACAAAAATCAGCACGGCGCGTGGTGGGTGGTGTACCTGTACTCCAGCTACTCGGCCGAGCTCGAGGCAGGAATCACTTCTGAACCCGGCGACGCGAGTTCCACGCTGAAGCGAGATCCGCGCCACTGCCCCCATCTGCGGTGCACAGAGCAAGACTCTGTCTCAAAAAAAAAAAAAAGAAAAAGAAAAAGAAAAAAAATTGCTCTAGCACTGACCACTGGGAGCTCTTTCAATTTGCCCCCCTATGTCTCTTTGACATACACTATATTCATTTCAAACTTTGAAAAATATTTGTCTCCTCTTCCCAAACAGTATAGGATCTCCTCAAGGGCAGTGAGCCTCTATCTGTCCCCCCATCATTCCACACCACGCACATGCAACGAACGAGTGCTGAACTGAGCAATGAGCAGAGCAGGGAGGGAAGTTTTGGCTCCTTGGTATAGGCAGCAGATGCCTGCAATGTGCTGTCTACTGCCCGAGTCTCCTATTTTCCCTTTTATTTTTTATTTTTAAAAATTTTTTTAGAGACAAGGTCTCACTCTGTTGCCCCAGCTAGACTGCAATGGTATGATCATGGCTCACTGCAGCCTTGAAATGCTGGGCTCAAGTGATCCTCCTACCTCAGCACTGGGATTACAGGTATGCAACACTGCACCCAGCCCTGTTGTCCCTTTGGAAACCATCCTCTCTCATTCCCAGCGAGGTGCTGACGACAACAATGAAATACCTGCCTTTAGCCATAGGACTTGGGAAGGGGACAGGCAGGTAACCTTATTCATAGCCAACTGGGCTCCCTTTCATCTTCCATTGGATTGAATGATGCAAAAACATAGGGCTGAATCTGCTAGGGCCACTGTTGGGAAGACCAAGAGTGAAGCTGACCCAGAGAGGACAAAGTCAAGAGATGGATTCCTTTTGAGGCTCAAACTATATTGTACTTAAGTCAGCCCTGCACCTGGCTGAGTTATATGAACCAAAAACTCCCTTTCACTTACTCTGATTTGGGTTGAATTTTCTGTTCTTCATAACTAAAACAGTCCTTACCACCCACTTCAGTATCGCTGGCCTGTATCTTTATCAAGGACAGTCAATGGAGGTGAGATAACTGACCACTGAGCTGTGTGACACCAAGTGACTGCACTGGGCCCAAGTCTCCTTTTCAATCCTGCAGGGGATAAGGGCTCCAATCAGAGAGAGAGAAAATGGACAATCCTCCTGATTCCAGAGCCCTCCTGTTACTCTGCACCAACACTTTCTGTCATCATCTCATCATTCAAAGAGCTCACAAACACTACACACCCCTTACAGCCTCATCATTAAACATCTACTCCACACCAATGGGCCAAATGAACTCTTCTAGTCAGGAAACACAAATACTCCCTTATGTGCTAAAATTGAATTAAAAGGTTAATGAAGGCTGGACACAATGGCTCATGCCTGTAATCCCAGCACTTTGGGAGGCTGAGGCAGGTGGATCACCTGAGGTCATGAGTTTGAGACCAGCCTGGCCAACACGGTGAAACCCCGTCGCTACTAAAAACACAAAAATTAGCCAGGTGTGGTGGCAACATGCCTGTAGTCCCAGGTACTCGGGAGGCTGAGGCGGGAGAATTGCTTTCAACCCAGGAGACAGAGGTTCCAGTGAGCTGAGATCACACCACTGCACTCCACCCTGGGCAACAGAGTGAGACTCCATCTCAAAACAATAAAAATAAAATGGTTAATGAAGGTAAAAGGTTTAACCAAGAAGGTCCCATAATGAGCCAGTGAGCCAATGGCCAATCAGGGCCATAAAGCCACAAAACTGGTTTCACCACAAAACTAGTTTCAGCCAGCATCAGACCATGCACCCTTTGACCTTCACAGGCAGAGCCCCATGAAGCCAGGGTTGT